TGTGGAAGTGGAATTGCTCATTTCTTAAAAATTTTTTCATGATTGCAGCAAAGTATAAAATAAGAACCATTCTTACAGTATTCATTACCTTTGTAACTTTTGAGTTATTACCTTTGTAAAGTGAGTTCATTCCTTGTACCATTCAGCCCTCAAAACTTTGGAGCCCGGTCCCCGGACCCCTTGGTCCTCTTTAATCTGTAAATACTTTGTAACTTGAATGATTGTGTAGAACCCCCTGGAGTTATTAAATTTTTTAAATTTTGAGTTCATTACCCTTTTTAAATTGTTAGTTCATTGCCCCTTTTGGTTGCTCGCTATCAAAACTTTGAGGGGCCCCCGTCCCTGGACCCTTATGTACCTCTGTAATTTTTGACTACCGCCCCCAGGTGGGTATGGGGTGCAAATAAACATATTAAACAACTAACCTTATTTTTGCCCCCACAATGCCGTCTTGTTGAAGCATCCCTTATACAAAAATTTCCTAATATGAATCTTAGCCCTGGCTTTGCTCTGTAGATGCCTTCCTTTCTCATTACACTGTCAAATGTTTCAAAAATTCGAATAACGACTTGATCTTTATCTCCTCAACTTGGGCCTTTTTCCCTGCCCATATTTTTTTTGCCTTTCCATTTTCGAAGGCGGGTTCTGTCGTATGGTTTTTCCCCCTTGTTTTTGTCCATCCCTTGTGCCCAAGACTCTCCTGCAGAGCTCCTTTTTTGGGAGAGTGGGGAAAATAGTATGTGTACTTTTTAACAGAGTAGCAGGTTTTGAATACATTTTCGATTTTGTGATAGTGACAGATAAGTTTTTTATTATATATAAATATTATATATTTTTATATATATATATATATATTTTAAATAATATATTTTTATATCTTTCCCTCAAGTGTAATTTCCCCCTACACCCACCCTCCTCATAAAAAAATTTGCTGCATGCTTTAAACATATATTCTTATATCTACCCTTACTCTTCGACTTCTATTTTAATACTCTCATGCCCACTTTCTTCCAATGGGTTTCCTTAATCTTTACCCTAATTTCCCCCGCTATAAAATTTTTAAAATTTTTTTATTTCTCAAAAAAAACATGTGTATCCAACAATCTACCCACGTTTTTTCTACAATACTGAACTTGCACTAGGGGCCCATATCAAATCTCGTGATTATTTATTTCAAATTTTCTTTCTATCCACAATGTTTTTTTCACTGCTTTATCCTTGCCCAATCCTTCCCCTTCCCATTCTTGCCATCCCTCTTATGACCTAACAAAAAAAAAAAAGGGGGAAAAAAAAAGATTGAACTTTCAAAATTATTTCTGAAAGTTTTTTCAGCGGTCATAAAATTAATACCTTCACCAGTGGTCATGCATATTACTTTAGACTCTATCAAATAGTGAGTACTATACTGTACATCAAATGATTTTGAGAAAGGTGGTGTGATAGTGTTTTCTTTGTCATGACAAGTGTTTCCCGACACACGGGTCTCTTGTGATATGATCGATGATTGTTCTCTCCTAATAAGCATTTGCTGGTGTACCTGTGCTAGATTTTCCACACATTTAATATCGAAGCAGCACACAATGCTATATATTAATTTCCGTTATTTTTAATAATTCTCTCGGGGTTAATTTTTTTTACTTGCAGTATTTACAGCAATATTAGCTGTTCTGACACTTGCAGCACTCTATTTCTCAAATTTTAAGATATATAATCATACAAGATATATAATCATACTGGTAAGCCAGCGGAAGGCTGGTTTACCAGTCCACCCCTTTAAAAACTATGTGTATAATCACAACCATTAGATATTACATTTTAGGGCGAAAGCCTAGCTCTTTTCATCACTCGACTAAGTTACTCGCGTCAAGCAAGCACTTACATATGTTTTCTGACTATAGGCGTAGACGCAGACTAGTGAAATATCCCCCTCAAGGACAAAAAAAAAAATGTTTGGCTAACGCTGAATAACCCAATCAGAGCTTTAAGTTGGTGCAGAAAGTAACGTAATTTAAATCTACGTCGGGTTTGTGTTCAAATTCGAATTTTTTATTTTCAAAACATTATACACAATTACAATATTTTAAATAGCTTGTGGTATGCACAGCATTTTGGGTGTCTAACAGGGATAAATTAGGTACAAGACAAATTTCCATCGCATGTAGATCGATCACACAGGTCAGGGATAGATCGATCACACAGGTCAGGCTACATATAAAACCTTTGTATTTTTTTCAGGTGTCATACCGGCCTGTAACAGATTGCCATCATGCCCAAAACTGTAAGTTATTATATTATTATTAACAATATTTTATTATTAAAATGGTGTTCACTTGCCCACTCCTAGTGGTAAATTCTAACTCGCAGTAAGTATATTAGTCACGTAGGTTATAAAACTCTTATACAATATTATTATTTTACCTTAGATTACTTATGACAATATAGTTTTTACCAACCTATATTTCTGGTTTTGTGTCAAATTTGATTATTACAAGGTAGGTACCTGGATGCTGGTGAAGGGTTTCTTTGATTCAAAGAACTGGAGATACCCTTCCCCTTTCTCGGATCAAATCTGATTACTCCCTATCCTTCCCGTTTCCCAGGCGCTGTATGACCCTTATTGGTTTAGCATTAACACAATAATAATATATCTATAGTAATATTTTATGTTAGTCTTTATAATAATTCTGTTTACTATAATTACATAACATTTTAAGAAAACATTATTGTCTGTGACTGTGATTATAATAGTTGCGTCTACCGTATGAATGTATTATTTTTTACCTTCTTGCATTTGCCTGTTTATATCTACAAGAATATAACTTATATTCACTGTCCCATTTTCGCTAATAAATTCGCAATGATTAGGAATCCTTGAAGTAATTGCCAGGAAAAAACTTCCCCCCAAAATTCGTTTCTATTTCGTTCATAAAGCAAGAAACCCTTGTTCAAATCGCTTCAAATTTTCCATACTGATGTACAGTAACTAGGGCAAGTTTCATGCAACTATGCAACTGATCCCCGAAACCCTCTCCAGGTATGCTGCATGACTTCAAACCTACCTACGGCGAAGAGCGAAATTAAAGTGTGTAGGTGCCCATTTTCCAATTTTATGTGTGAAATAGCGTGAAATGTTTATTCTCATTCAATCACGTTAAATAAATCTGAGTCTACCTCACCTGAAAATCTTCAATATTTAATGGCTGATGCATTTTAGATATGAAAGTACCCGTTATGTTTAGTTTATGCTCGCGTGAATTTGTCAGTATACCATATTAGTATAAAACACATGGAATCCTTGAAACTCGTGTGAAAACAAGAGAATGCCTCTTCTGACTGGCTTCAAACTTTTATTGTTGGTTTGTTTTCTGGAACGCATGATGTTTTTTTATATTTTATTTAAAAATATACAGTATACATGTATATCACACATAATTGACGTAATCACAATACATGAGAACGCATGATTTACCTTGTTATTGGGCGGCACCAGTCTCAACTTGTCTACTTTATTAAATAAATTGTGAAATTGATTTCCATTCAATAAATGACGTATGCCTATTCTAATCGGCTTCAAACCATAATACTAAGGTAATTTTTGCACTGCAGATTATATGGGCTTAAGGAATTACCCGAGAAACGTAGACCGGATAACCTGACAGGTACTGTAGTGAGGGAGACAGGACAGATGATGGATGCCAGTATGACATTTCCATAAATAACAAAAAGGCACAATACCGTCACTGGAACAATACACAAATAACCCGCACATAGGAGGGAGGAGCTTACGACGATGTTTCGGTCCGAAACGTCGTCGTAAGCTCCTCCCTATGTAAGGGTTATTTGTGTATGCCATTTCCAAAGCATTGTACAAGCTGTATATATTCCTATTAGAGAATTTAGATTAAACATGAATGACCTTAAATGGATAAACAATAGACTTAAGCATCACTCGGATGAAAAAGAGAGGCATTTATAGGCGAAACAAAAGAGATGAGGTCACCTTACTGAGAATTATGTAGTATTCAGTTTAAGAGAGAAGTAAAAAAAAAAAGGGGGAGGGAATAAGGAAAATCAGGAGAATATGAAAATAATTAAAGACCAATCCAAAGGATTTCTTTCAGTAACAGTATACAGTAGAGGAATAAGATCAGGGAAGAAGATATTCCCTCTGAAATGTAACTCAGGTCAACTTACTTTTAGTGACAGAAATATGAACCATTGTTAACACTTATTTCTTCTCTGTTTTTACACAAAAGGATACAAACAAAATACCAGAAATCAATAATTATACTGGTCAGGACGAAAAATAAATTTTGCAGTATCAAAGTCACTAGTACCACGGTCCTCAAACAACTACAGTAATAGAATGAAGCCATACAAGTTACCGGGAAAAGTTGATGGAATCAATAACTGTTGATGCAATTCTAAGCCACTTTTTATTTCCGCATCCACAAATAAACTAGGCTTGAGAGACTGTCCACTTCCCACCGAGAGGTGACTGAGTGCTACTGCTTCCAGTGCTATATTTTATAACCGATTAAAGAAACCTGTTGTGCAGGGGAAACGTTTCGGAAATAAAACATACCCATGTATTGCAAACGTCTTATCCATAAAAGGAGTATTCTAACCTTTTTTTCGAGGCGGTAGACCATGATAAATAATACGATATTGTGTATACGGACTTCAGTAAGGCCTTTGATAAACTTCTACGCAGGAGACTGATTAAGATGGTAGTGACACATGGAGTAGAAATTATCTCTTGCGTCGAGGTATGGCTGACCGATAGGCAACAGAAATAAAAAATGGAGACCCATTACGAGTGTGTGCAACAGGAGTCAGTGTAAGTGACCCTTGTTCGCAATATAACTAAGGAATTCTTGGCTTCATATCAAGAAGTATAAAGAATAGAAATCATAAGGTTACATTTCAGCTTTATATACAATCTTTGGTTAAACCCCATTTAAATTATACTGCTCAGTTCTGGTCTCAGTAATAAAGAACAGACATGAATGCTTTAGGAAATGTAGAGAAGGGTGCTGAAGTGGATTCCATGTATTAGAAGACGGGCTGAAAGCACTAAGTTTGCACACTCTGAAAAGGCGTAGAATTAGAGAAAATATGACTGAGTGCACAAATGGAAAACAGGAAAAAAAAAAAGGATATAAACAGTGCTGAAAATTTCTAGCCAAGCCAAGACTCGCAGCAATGGATTCAAGAGGGAAGGATCAAGGGAAGTACTGGTTTGGCACAGAGTTGTGGGTGAGTAAAACAAACATCCAGATAACTTTTTTGAGGCAAGAACTTGAGTAGCTTTCAATGAATAGGATGGGCGGATATACGAGTGGATGTGGCCGGGTATGAATTAAATCTGCCTAGCATAGACCATGTTCCTTCTTGCGTTATGTATATACATATACACTCGCATACACGAAAGTGTATGCACACGCTCAAGCATACAGACACGTAATTTTTTTTTGTATATTTTGCTGCATTAGATTTTTATGAATACCTTGCAATATTTCTTTTGCGTGCACTGAGGCAGAAAGGGCTGTGCTTATGGTATACGGGGATACCTTTCGCGGATCGAGCAGCGACCGAAATACATATATACATATAGCATTTTTAAAGTGTCTACTATAGTAGTTGTGGAAAATACTGTATATATTTTCCAGAAATTCAGTATTTATATGCAAATAGATGGCCATACTGTATTTAATAATATTTATGTCATAGAAAACGGAAAGCCTGCGTCTGGGCAGGAGACTCGCCATCTTGGTTTTGAATTTTGTACAAACGTTGGTGTGATGGGAAGAATTTTTCGTGCTCTAGAGGTTAAAATTGTGTTGACACCTCTCAAATAGGAGGCGAAATTGGTGGAGATGCATTCCTGCATAACTTGAGATATCAGACGACTGGACAAGACAGCTCCAGGAACCTCAGATAAGCTCTCTAGATTTGTGTATAATTCTGGCCAGTCTTTTCATAAATTTAGTTAGTGAGGTTTTTCTGAGTATGATACAACTTAATATCTAGTCTAATTGGCGAGTGATATTAAGATATATTTTCCTTCTGTTATGTAATTGTGTATATATATAACCATTTATTATTTTTAATATACAGTCCACAAATTTATATATTTACCAGTATTCCTGGTGTATGTATATTTCATTTAATTAATAGGTCCAGAGCAACTTGTGGATATGACAGTGGTAGGTATCGAAAGGGGACATTTTTGCGACCTAGGTGTCCCAAATTCCTACTTGTCTAACTGATAAATAATAATTATCTATGTTCATTTATTGTTATGTACATAATGATACAGATAAATGCAATTTTCCACAGTAGTAGTAATCACTACCTCCTTATCCTATTCCAGCTATATTTTTTTTATCAAAATATGATTTCACCTTATTGTGCGCCTACCCTGAGCTATATGCCATTTTACAAGATTAAAAGAATTAAGTGTCAACCATATACAAATAGTCTATCATAAATTGGTCGTGTCACAATATTTTAATTTGCCTTCAGGAAAAAAAAATTTTGAA